GCATAACTAGGGCTGCTTAATTTCATACGTCTGATTATGCTGATAAGATTAAATCATCATGTTGGACGACTGTAAGCGAAGTTCGAAACACAACTGAGCAGACAAGTTTAGTCACCTTCTTTTGATGGCTGCTCAACAATCTCTCTCTCTTTTAATATATCAATCAAGCATAGGTAGTTTTTACTCAATTTACTGCCACCGTTCCTGAGCCGGATAGGCTTCTTGACCTAGTATTAACCTAGGGCTTTTCAAAGGATGAGTTCCATCTCTGATGGTATCCATCATAGGATTTGCGAAAACACAGCCCGTTTTCACCCGAAACGAGGGAGGAGGCCTCGTGGACTGTGTCAACTTAAACATCATATTAAGGCCAAATGTCTGCAGCACGACGGGATATAGTCATCTTCTTCTGGTAAGATCAACCTTCATCTACTTTCAACAATATTAACTCAGGAGATTAATCGAAACCTAGTTGCTCTTCGTATCTACGATCTTATAATGAATTGTTTTTTCTGTCAATATTTAATTTTATATTAATTTCATTAACATATATTATCAAAATTTAATATAATTTGGTTAATAATTACTATACTATACTTTGAAAACGACTAATAACTTCAGTCAATTCTCTTCTACCCCCTTTAGCTAAGGCGGTCTTGTCGTTCGTTTATTAACGTGTTGATAATGTCTATCTACGATAGTTTGAATCCCGATATTCGGAATGTGGAACTTTATAAGAAAAATGCATTCATCTTACGCGGTTATTGCCTTCCATTTGTTGTATTATATGCCATATGGATCGGATATTGGATAAATGTGCTGAATTTTGAAGACTCCTTTAAACTGGGAATAATTGTATTGGCTCTTTTAGGGCTTATTCATATTCTTGTTTGCTTATTTTGTCACTGGTCTATTAGTTTTAAATGTCTTATGACATGCACAAGGGTATTTATTTTTAGTGAATATTGAGTTTTTATATAGCAGACCAGGGTGTCGCTTGCAGATTGCGCTAAAGTGGTGCCAACTCCAAACAACGGCTATACATCACTCGTGTCATTAATGCACGAAAAGGTTTTATAATTCTTTGTGATATTTTATTTGATAGAGTGTCTTATCCGGGGAAATTATTCATTTTTTCTATTTTCAACGCCTCAAGTATTTTTTTCTATCCGATTCAAAAGAAAATTTGACCCCCATACAATTCCCGACAAATTGGAAAATTTTGGAGTATCTAGAGTGGAAAGGACATAATGATGCAGAGATAGAGGCAGCTCTTGAAAAATATGATACAAATCAGTAAGACTTTCACTATTTTATCCTGAAGCTTGCATCTAACGGTTCCAACGTTTGCCGAATTGTTTAAAGAACGAGCAACAGCTCCATTTTTTGTATTTCAAGTATTTTGCGCTTTTCTCTGGTGCCTTGATCAATATTGGCTATACCCTATGTTAACTTTGACTATGCTTGGACTTTTTGAGGCTAGTCTTGTGCAGCAGCAGCTCAAAAATTTGAGTGAGGTTAGATCTATGGGTTCAAAGCCATACGGAATAATGGTAAATTATTAATATCGGTATTCTTTAAGTTCATTGTAATTAAAAATTTATTAAACTTCGTATATTTAGGAGGGTTAAAATCATTTCTGTATTAACTTCTTTAGGTTTATAGGAACAAGAAGTGGATTCGC